GTTGTCAACTAAACAATTAGTTAAATCAATTGAATAGTTGACTGCAATCTGTGATTCACTATCCGGAGAGACAGAGGAAAACCGGAGGACCCGGAGAAAAACTGCCGCACTCTCGTGTGTGAAGTGAGCACACAAATGATCATGAAAAGAGAGAAAGTGGCACGATTGGGAATCGAACTCACGATCTCACTCCATTCAAATCACGCGCACTTAGTTTATGGGTAAACCCATACCATGCCCTTAAGCAAGTGCGCCACGGAGGCCCTATGTATTTCACTTTATCATTTAATTTAAGTATAAAAATAAGAGATTTAATAAATACTAATATAAATAGATTTACCCGTAATATAGTGTATAAGAAAAAGACAACAATTCCGATGGTATAGATAGGCATAACAAATCCCATTAGACCTCCTGTCCTATTAGGCTCATCATTAATATTCATTTTGCTCTCACTCTGTAATGGCTGTAATAAATATGATTTTATTAAAAATATAACTAATTTTCATAATAATTAATATTAATTAATAATAAACATGTCATTCATACTCTTCCGGCGAGGCGTTGGTACTCTTGAGGTCTCGACAACTTCATAGCTTCCCTTACTTTGGGCGGTAAGAGTGANGATACGAAGGACGCGTCATCGGAGGCCAGATATGCCACAGCTTTGGCGCAATCAATCGGTTCTCCAATCCTTCCCAATGGATAGCTTTTAGCCGTCATTTCAATCATATTTTGCAAACTGAATGATTGGACACCGAATTTGTCGAATATAGGCGTTCGCACTGACGCTGGACTACATTTACAAACCATAAACGCATTCATTATTATAGTTATGTCTATTCATTCAAATATTGTCTCACTTTATGCTATTCACACGAATCCCTTTTGGACCCAATTCTAGTGACAAACACTTTGTAAACATATCTAACGCCGCTTTACTCATACAAAACACCTAATCATGTGTTTAATATTTAGTAAAGTTAGTTATAAACAGTTAATACTAGTTCAAAATTAACTATAATATAAAATGATTTGAAATAACATACCATAAGTGGTCCCAACTATTAAATAAAAAGTGTATAAGTTTTTTATTTATACTTATTAATTGAATGTATACTAACGGGTCTGAGTCCGCAAACACTCGAGACATTCACAATATTTCCTTTTAATTAATAAAACAAATTAATTAATTGATTGAATAATTTGTTAATTTTGAATACCTTTGGTTTTCTCCAAATAGGGAACCGAAAGACTCGAGAGATAGAGAACTCCCTTAACATTCGTACCCATAGTTGTGTTGTATATTTGCATTAAGTCTGGGCTGGAAATGGGCGACAATTGGGAAACACCGGCGCTATTGACGAGAACATCGAGTTTCCCGAACTCATCGATGGTCTCGTAGATGAGTCTTTCGATGTCATCATATCTGTTCACATCCGCCACCACTTCCAGCACTTTCTGTTGAGACAATTCTCGACACTTCTCGGCCACTATTTGGACCCTTTCTTCGTCTCTACCAGTGATGACAACCTGTGCGCCCAAACTCGACAAATACAGTGCAATCTCTCTCCCGATTCCAGAACTCGAGCCTTAAATGCATTTGATATTTAAAATACTAACAAATAAATATTTTTTTAATCACTTAATCGTTAGACTAACCGGTGATGAGAACCACTTTCCCGTTAAAGTCTTTACAATTTGACATTATTTAGGATTTATTAAAAATTATAAATAAATCTGACGATTGTTTAAAATGTTTAATTTGTTTTATAAAGAATACTTTAGCTTTAAATATGAAATGAAATCAATTCTTTATAATCCTTGAAAGCAATTTCACGGAAATACCTTTTCATTCAATCTTCTCTATTGTTTTAGCATTGATTTTAAATTAGTCTTAAATCAAATCATTAATCCTATTGTTGTTATAATACTATATTTTAATAAACAAAAATATCAAACAATGTATTATTTTTTACAAAATTTGGACAAATAACTAAATATATGTTATAAATTAATGCCTGACTTTAAATTAGTTTACATAATAAATATGTTGTTATATTAAGAGCTCCTGATATTAAGAAACTTGTTGCTGTTTTATAATATTTCATTATAGCGTTAAATAACAATTAAAATATTAAGTAATTTTTAATACAATGCGATACAAAAGCGTGAAATATGACTGAATTAATAGTAATTGATGATTAATTTTACATTAATGATAATGAATGAAAGAATACAATAAAATAATAAATAACTTTTTATAGAATCGTTAGTATATTGTAAAAATCAAAATATTTCTACAAAAATGGCACAAAACATGAAAATAAATTATATTATTCTTCTTTAAGAGTTTCCAATTCTTTCATTCCTTTGAGAAGTGATTCCCAAACGTCTGAATTGAGATTCTTTAATATAAAAAATATTTCTACAAAAATGGCACAAAACATGAAAATAAATTATATTATTCTTCTTTAAGAGTTTCCAATTCTTTCATTCCTTTGAGAAGTGATTCCCAAACGTCTGAATTGAGATTCTTTAATATATTTCTTTTGATGTCGTCTTCTTTGCGACACTTATTGTCGATACTAAAGGTTTCGTCAAATTTCTCATTCACTTCATTCTCAATATCGGATTCATTTTCCTATGAAAACCATTCAATTGTTACAATGAATACAAATTAAATTTTAATTATGAAAACACATTTTGCAACAAAAGGTTTGATTTGAAAAGCATGTGATTTGATTAGTTGCTAAGCATATAAATATACAAACATTTTGTTCATCGCATTCTTCATACGATTCATTAGTGATATTGTTTTCGTTTTCTTCAGTCTTTTCACTGCACTCTTCGTCTAATTTGTCACTCTTTTCATTGATTTCCTTCTGTAAACAGAAATATAATGTTTATTAGCGTTGAGTCATATTCTTACCATATATTGTGCCACAAAATTATATAATATTTGTTCACTAATTTTAGATCTTAATGAACGATAACTATTATCTACTAAAAGCATGTATTTTGATGTTATAAATAAATTGATTGATAAATTTAATAAATAAAAATATTAATATGGTTAAAGTTTTTAATGCAATCAATTAGACCTCAGAATTGTTATCACTCAAGTCTATGTCCTCTTCTGTTGAATCGTTTGGTTTGGTTTGTCTTTCATTAGTTTCCTCTACTTTTATCTTTGACTTAAACTCTTCCATATCTCGGATTAAAACGTGAAGTGCTTTCGATACTAAAACAACACAATATTTATGTAAATTTTAATTAATTTTATTCATGTGTGATGTTTGTTATGACAAACATTCACGAATACAAAGAATTGAATGACAGAATACATGCCTTTATCGCAATCAAAATCACTGAATAGTTGTTTATTTTTCCTATGTTTGCCTCCATTTAGGTTTTTATTAATAAACTTTGCTTTCCTTTTAATTTCCTCGATATTCCTCATTCGTTCTCCATTTTCATCGTATTCTTCGTTATAAATGAATTTTCTATATTCCGGATTCATTTGAAAGTCGGGCTGCAATACCGGTCTTTCTTCGACCGGTATCTCCGGTAACTCTTTGGGTTCAACAGAATCTTTGCTAAAAGTCATCTTAATATAGATTGAAAATTAAATTGAATTAAATTTTCAACAAATACTGAATAAATAACATAAAAGTTATATACAGTTTAAATGTATTGATTGTTCAATAAATAGGTTAATATATCAAATCAAATAATTTGTATTAAACAAATAATATAAAGGAATTTTATAAAGTAGTCAATAAATACAGGTTATAAATATACTGTATTTATGTATTTCATTTTATCATTTAATTTAAGTATAAAAATAATAAATTTAATAAATACTAATATAAATAGATTTACCCGTAATATAGTGTATAAGAAAAAGACAACAATTCCGATGGTATAGATAGGCATAACAAATCCCATTAGACCTCCTGTCCTATTAGGCTCATCATTAATATTCATTTTGCTCTCACTCTGTAATGGCTGTAATAAATATGATTTTATTAAAAATATAACTAATTTTCATAATAATTAATATTAATTAATAATAAACATGTCATTCATACTCTTCCGGCGAGGCGTTGGTACTCTTGAGGTCTCGACAACTTCATAGCTTCCCTTACTTTGGGCGGTAAGAGTGAGGCCTCATCTGTCAGTCATTACACAAATAATTTAGTTTGCATTTTAAAAACTAAATTGTTTTTATATTTTTAATTTTAATTATAAATTAGATTAATAGATTTTGTTCAAAAATTTCATTCATTACAAATTAAACATTAAATGTGTACATATGAATAGAAAATGTCAAATGTTAAATGTCAAAACTTTATATGAAAATAGGCTTTTAATTAATTATATCAATAACTCGACAAAACAACTCTTATTTTAGATGTTATTTAGATTTAATCAAATTGTAACTTATATAAGAAATTAGTGACTTTCACTGAATTCATTAATTTTTAATAAACCTAATGGAAATCTATTTCACGTGTTTGTACGCAATCAGGCCTTATATAAATTACAGGTAAATTTTCACTTTATTTTAAGGGAAAAAAACAATCAAACAATGTAAAAATTAATTTATTGTCAGTAAAAATAAAACCCATATATGATTTGAATCATCTAATCTTAAACACTTTAGGTATAACTTATACCGTATAAGTTACCTGTAACTACATAACCTGTATAATATGTTATATTCATTTCATTTAATATATTTATTTCATTTCTTAACAGTTTAGCTACGGTTTTGAATAATTTATTTGTTTCATAAAAACCATAAAAATTAATTATATTTTTTACTAAAAATAATTTTAAGGCAGTATTGTACTAAAATACGGTATT